GGTCCAGCAAACAATGACAGGCAGTGATTATAGGGGACATTAGGAGCTCCTGCCCCCCAAATCTCCCTTTCGAAACCCTCATTATTTTATTCGTCAGTAGTATTTGATAGCTTCTTTCAATCCATAACGAACAAAGTGCAAGTCACTATCACTCTGCAATAAATCAGTCCTAAACGCGCAGTGGACAAAGACTCTACAGTACTCTAAAACCTTTTCACATCATCAGAGGAGATTGTTTTTCAAAACATACATCATGCTCCATTGTCCACTCCACACTTGTTCAGTGTTCATCGTTTCTTCTCGGCTAAACTATAAAAAAATGTACCTAAACTTTGTCCTTCATTTGGAAACTTTCAAATTACCTTCTATTCGCTCAACATTCTAATAATTGTTTGAAATTTTTTTTGAAACACTTGTAAAATGTCAAGTATCAAATATTGACGTTTGAAAGTAAAACAGACTAAAGTTGTCATAATTTAGTTTTTATTCTTCTAAATCTTTGTATGAATGAACTAAAAAAGCACACCAAAATGAGATATATGATCCTGATTAACCTTTGGCAACATCAAGTATTTTTTAATTTTTTTTCCTCTGGCTCCAATCTAGCTCCTTTCTTCCCACTCGCTTTGGCTCTCTTTCTGTATTCTCTCAGCGGGAGAGGAGCTGCCGACGACGAAGGATGACCATAAGAAGAATACAGATAGCAAGTGGGCGAGGGGGGGCCATCAACCGAGTCAGCTATACAGATGAAAAGGATAGGGAAGAGGAAGGAGCGTGAGAAAACAAAAAGGGAAAGGGGATAAAAACGAGTGGGGGAAGGAAGCCAGTACATAGAAATGTAGACCCTCCCCCCTTCCAGACAAGTCTATTTTGACCCTAAAACTATTTGAGGCTTCCAATGCCAAATTTAAGGTTGCTGAAGAATTCAATACGGAAAGGTCAATGAATTCCGGCACTGAAGTTCTAAGGTTTCAGATTTGAGGATTTCTACCAATAATTCATAAACTCCTTAATGAATTAAGAGTGTGTAACATGACAATTCAATTAGGATGCAATTAATTGATAGAACTAAGATCATATTCACATATAAGAAAACATAACACTACACAACAAGGGCTTTTACAACGAATAAAGGCCAAGTAGAGGAGGGAGGGAGGGATGTCAATTATCTCACTCTAATTCCTTCCAATCTAAAATCAACCATGAACTAGCTGCTGAGAATGCTGCATTGCGATTAGGCTTCCTCATACATGGGCACTTTGGTGATCCATGAAACAAGGTGTTTCCGCCAATCCTACTTTCCAAAACATGCACTCCCCCCACTATCAATCTTCCCCTTTATCTGGATATTGGGTACAGGGATTTAAATGATAAACAAGAAGTGAATAGAAAGAACGAAAAAAAGGGCTAAATGAATGCAGAGTTCATAAAGAAAGCAGAATATAGATATTGAATTTTGGGATAATGACCTAAAACAAGTCATTCTGAACTAATTCCTCACATTGAACTCAAGTGTTAACTCTGAATCAAATCTTAGTCAGATTTAACGACTGCCCTGTATATTATTTCCCCATCCACCCCAGGCAATATGAACGTTTTGTTCAAGTACTAAAGACCAAGTGAATGGGTAACATCTACAAATAGAACATAAAAATCATGGCAAACATTTTTTGTACTTCGACCCAACGACCTCACAATATAAAAATTACATATGTTGAACTAACAACTCGCCCAATTTAATATCCAGATTATAAGGAACATGTCTCCTTGTAAATTGCGAAAATTTTAATTAGAAAAATCTAAGCAGACCTGCACAATTAAAAATATAAAAGAATCTACAGCATAATTAGTTGCCAACACAAACATATAGTGATAGACCAGGAAATTGATAGATACCCCATAACCAGGCTTCCTTAACAATCCTAGTGAACCAATAACTATATTTTATTAATTTGGGGGTGAGGCATGTGCAAGCTGAAAGAGAAATACCTCAGATCCAGTTGAAGTTATCAGAAAGAATTCATTTCAAGACAGTAAGTTCTCCTCTTGACCAGTATCTTTGCTGCGGTTCCATAAGGTTCCTCGAAAGCATTTGAAAGCCATGATCCATCAGAGGCATCTTTCTTTGTCATTGACTGCTCACTTGGACGTATCGCAACAAGTGTAGCCCCCTTCAGAATAGTCCCACCAGGTAATTCCAAGTGAGGTGCATACCAGAGCCTCATATTCAGAGCAGGGACAAGCGTCCTCTTCGAAGCGGTTGAAGCCGATAAGGGCTTTACTCTCAACTCCTCAAGCTGATCCTTGTTCATACACAACATGCCCTGTCCATCTGCATCAGTCAAAACTAAATTATCCAGAGTTTTATGTTCTGCAATAATCGGCTGCAGTAAATAATGCCTCGCCGAAGCCGCAATTAGAGAGCTAATCGTCCAAACTACTCTTAATTTTAGCCCTCCATTAGTATAAAAGGATTCGGGTATACTCCCGCTGTCGTCGGCAGCTGCACCATTTCCAGAGCAGAACCCATCAGTTCCATTCTCTTGAACGTGCTTATTGAAGGATCCAGTGTGAATCACCGACGCGGCACCCAGGATCACACAATTATCCAAAGTTGATCCGAAATCAGCTCGCCATTTCAACAATATCCCGTCGTCAATACCCAATTCACCGCTAGGAAGCTCGATCCGAAGGAGCCGAATCTCGTTAAAATTCTTTAGAACCTGTGTAGGCGAGTGATGGGTAACACCACTTTGACCACCCTCCCCGTCCTCTTCCCTCCCAACCGCAAGCGAAGAAGTTGACAAAGACGACGAAACAGAACTCAACACAGAGGAACTCACCCGTTTCGGACCCAAAAACTGACCTATAGCCTGAAGCGGCTTGACAATGCCTCCAAGAACCATACGAAACAGGTTCGAAAAAGCACTTCGAGACTTCTCAGCAGACGAAGAACCGGACGAGAAATCATCATCAGAAATCACACAGTCAACTCGAACAACAACGTTATCAACCTGAGAGACGATCGAGTGGAATCTTCGAGAAACTGCACGGCAACGTCCAAGGGCCTTAACGTCACCGATCCTATTGAAAATCAGCAGCAGCAGCGGGTCAGGAAGAAGATCAAAGTAATCCTCAGAGTAGCTACAACGGCTATAGCTCTGGCCAAGAACATCTTCGTCGTGTATAGAATACATTCTAGAGTGCGGATCAGGGCGTAGATAAGAACAGGACATTGTCAAGAGTGAAGAAACAACGTATACAGCTCAGATCAGAGAAAAAGAAACTGAAAACTGAAAAGTTCGTGAACAGCGAGATGGATCTCAAACGAAGTGCAGGAGCATGATCGGAGCTTCGGCAACAGAGAGAAAGAAGAAGAAACGGATGAAACCCTAATTTTATAGGTCAAGAGAGAGAGATAGGAAATGGTGGGCTGAGATGGATCCACGATTTTGTCCTTATGGACCGAAAATTAATATATTCTGTTAGTGAGAGCAATATTCGGAGAAAATTCCATTATTTTGCAATTTTCATGAAATTACATTTTTCCCTTTTATTTTATCTTATTTTAAATAAAAAAAGAAAAGCATAAATAAAAGAATGCATAATATTCGCTGTCCTTTTATCTTTTAATGAGCCGTGTTCTTTTCTTTATTTTCCATTTAAATTAAAACATTATAAATTTAAAATTAATTGATTAATACTTAATCCAACCTTAAATATAATTATAATTTAATAACACCCTTATTAATTTGTATATATTTGTAGGCTCAACTAATTATTTAGGACAACTAATTTAACTAATTCATGAATCCGTTGAAACATGACAACTACTAATTATCCAAAGTATTTTTCATAATATAAAAATAACATGTGTATTAGATCCAACAAAATATAATTATAAAAACTTTCCAGTTGTGATAATAAAAATAAAATAAAGCTTTTCCATTATTTATTTGTCATGCATTATTTTATTTTATGGATCTCCACATCATTTTTAAATAATAAAATTGATTTAATTATTTATTGAATTAAAAATTAAATAAAAAAAAGCAGTAATATTTTTTTTTAACTGAATCAATTAATTAACACGGAAAGGTTAAATTTAAAGGCAATAAATGATTATGGGCCTTGGCCTTGAATTCTTCAAACACAAATAGACACGTGCTGACCCACACGCAGAGACAGCCATAAAAGCATCAAATTAATTAGCGATTTTCTTTCTTTTTGTAGTTTTCTCTTTATTACTGTTTTTTTAATAAGACTAAACAGTAATTAGGAGCATTTATGACTGTTAATTCAATTACCATTTATTACTTCTTTTTTTTTAAGAATAAAGGGTGAAAAAGAATTTAATATAATATTGGTCCAAAAGAAGTCCAAGCCAACCATGATAAATGGTCCCAGAAATGTCAAGAGAAAGCAATGGGCAGGACCATCGCTAGTGTCTCTCATGCATAAATTTTCTATTCCTTGAAAGCTAAAACTTTAAATCTTAGCTTACATGTGCTCCTGAAAATGACACGGTTAGATCTCGAGCATGTTCAAATAGCTAATAACCAGTGACTCAACAAGAAATCATTTCCTACGCCTATTCGAGCATAACCCAATTGATTAAGAAATAGCATCAACGGTTAAATATGGTTCACCTGCGAACCCTTTTTCTTCGTCTCAAAGTAGTGCAGTCTTTTCCTGTTGATAAACTCATATGAACAGATATTGAAAGTATATCAGGAAATGTAAGAATGACAACTAGCTTTAACGTGAGAGAAACTTAGTAGCACATGTTCTGATTCATAAAATGCAGATACCTTGCCCTCAAATCATTTCTGGGAACTATTCAATTACTGGTTTCTTTCCCTTCCCTAAATAGAAAAAAAGAACGGATTCGAGATATAATTATTCCTTTCTATGTCCTTCACGATCGAATCGAGTGGACAGTTTCAATCTATACAAGAGAATGCTACATTAACTTCATAATTTAAACAAACAACACAACAAATGGAATTTGAAGTTGATATCAAAATCAAGAATTCACTATGGGTCTTACAACATGATCCAGCATCCCTAGGTTAATCAAGACTGCATTTTGCTACACAGAATTTTTCATCCAATGTTCTCCCATTTTTCCAGACCTTTCTATTCTCAAGATATTCAGACTTCTCAAAGGGCACAATCAGGGTTCTAACCAAAAAAACATAATAAAGGATCACAAAATTGGGGATTGAAAAAATCCTAACAATTAGGGTGGCAAAAGAAGCAAATTAACCAAACTCAACCCTTCACTCCAAACACAGGCTTCAGAAACCTTGAGTTTTTTATTCCAACCAAGCAGCCCACCGGTTTCAAAACTCAATGGTTTTTGGTTATGAACCTATATGCTCCAAACGGTTCATAGAATTTTCAACAGGGTGGACGCTCAGGCAAACATTAGATAATCATAAGTGAGATAATTTGGTGTAGTCAATTTAACAGAAGCAATTTTTCCATGAATAAACTAGGGAGATGCTTCAAACTTAAAATGGTTCTATGGTTTGGTTGCATGTACTCGTATGATTTCTTCCCATGATATCGATAGGAATGACTAAGCAACAACCCTAAAGGCAAATTCCTTGGAAGGCATTAAAGAATCTACACAAGATGATCCAAGGTTTTGGTAACATTTTACTGAATCTCTAAAATACCCTACTGTAGTGCGCCTAACCAGTAACCAATCATTCATCAATAATGCCTTCTTGACACTAGTAATTTTTATTGGCTGGAAATGAAAGGATGTCATCAGAAGAGAGGAAATGAAAGAATGTTATCAAAAGGAATTTCCAGGGACAGAAAACTGAAAAGTACTGTCATTTCAAACCTCTTGATTATTTTTTCAAGGCTAACTATAACCATTTAGCAATTGGATAATTCATAAATAGTAGCAGACAAAAGATGAGTTTAGAAAGGTAACAGAAATGTTTGTGTGTATGCATGTAAGAATTTGTTTTAGGTTGTATGCAAGATTTGAAAAAGAACGGTGTAAAAAGTATAAAAAACCTTTCTGCTCGAGTTGAGAAAAAGGTTGACAGGAACAACAAAGAAGAAATCCTTCCAAAACACAACTCTGAGAACACTGTGAAAACCATTTTTAAAATAGTTTTCTTCAAAAAACGAAAATCTTCTATAATGGAAAAGGCCCTTGTTTTCAAGACATATAAGGAGATAGAGCTCATGCCAAACATCACTTCAGCATCAACTAGTACACTTTAGCATCAACTAAGACATTCGAAGAAACTTCCCTCCAGAAGTGAAGAGTAACAAATCCTCTCTTCCAATGACAATGGTCTCAAAGTCGTTCTCTCAAGAAAATGGAAGGATCATATTATTAGGGAATCATTATTCAGGGAATGAACCTACTCACACCCTGAAGCTACTACATATCCAAGGAATCTCAGGGCCAGCAGATGTCTATAGAGCATAAAACATGGAATTGGCTGTTAATAAAGGACACAAAAGAAGACAAATTATCAAACAGAGGTAAAAAAACGCAGAATTTATGGTGCTATTTAGCACCAACCTACTAAAATATAAGGAACGATCATATGAAGTACAGAACAAGGAATCAAGAGAGAAACTTCTCCAATGACAACTTTAGTTTAGTTCTCGAAACAATCTCTCTTCTATTGAGGTTAATTGTCTTAGTTAAAGATCTATAATAGGTAAGAGCAATACCAACTGCATTGAGAATAATGATCAAAGATTGAGATCTTCGTCCACCAAGAAACTGAGTAGGAGAAAAAGTGGACAGAAAAATATTGTGAACAGTTATAAGATTGAGATAACGACCATCCTGGAACTCATCTGGCATAATCATCATATAATATGAGTACGACAGCATTGGAAATGAGATGAAGTCCCAATTGATAAAAGATAAGGCCAGACATACAAGTATGAAAGGAAAGATCCTAAAAGTTCTAAGAATCCACAGAAGAAGAATAGAATAAGAAACAAAAGCTCTAGGAACCCTAGATATGAGCCTTCTGTAGATCCTCCCACATCCTGACAAGCACTTGAAGGGAAAAACTCAGAGAATTTGGAGGCTAGAAGAGGCACCCTCTCCAGAACTGAACCTAGGGAGATCTACCGAGGATGAACAGAAATGGAAGATTTTCATCTAGTCACCTCCAAACATGTAGTCATCTTCCATTTTATGTAGCCATAATAAATGCCTGAATCAAGTTTTCTGCCGCGCGCTTCTGTTCAGATGTGCCAGATATTAGAGCAATACGATCACCTCGAGATGAATTAGAGTCTGAAATCTCAATCAACGCTCCTGATATCTGAACAATGAAGAGTGTACATACTCAGTACCCAGAATGGCATAACAACAAAATAATAAGCTGTGTCTAGAGTTAATTTTTCAATCTCCTTCACTTTTTTGACTAATTAAAATCATTTAGGCAAAAGAGTTGGAAGTAAAAGCGTTTCAATAGTCCCAAAAGCTCTTTCAAACAATCTAAAAGTACAAGAAATATGGGCGAGAACAAACATGAAATATGTCTTGGAAAAGAGAAAACGGCTCTTTCTAAAATAAAGACATTCAAACCGGGGCAATTCTATTTTAGTTCTTATTGAAGCATATTCAGTATATTTTTACACATTTCAATCTCTCAAGCATACTAATATGATGAGCAAGGTATTAGAAACCAGCATCCTTATATTCTAATAGCTTTACTCAAGTTAATTACATCAGAGAACTAAATTTTTAACAAATGCTGTATCACAATGCCCATGTCACGTCATGTCTCAGCATCTTAGGAAGAAGTCTTCATAACAAGAAAAGAAAAAAAAAAAATCACATTCTCTATAAGAAAGAAAAAAAAAATGTTTCTCGTTAAAAAAAAAAAAAAAAAAAAAAAAAAAAAAAAAAAAAAAAAAAAAAAAAAAAAAAAAAAAAAAAAAAAAAANGTCTAGAGTTAATTTTTCAATCTCCTTCACTTTTTTGACTAATTAAAATCATTTAGGCAAAAGAGTTGGAAGTAAAAGCGTTTCAATAGTCCCAAAAGCTCTTTCAAACAATCTAAAAGTACAAGAAATATGGGCGAGAACAAACATGAAATATGTCTTGGAAAAGAGAAAACGGCTCTTTCTAAAATAAAGACATTCAAACCGGGGCAATTCTATTTTAGTTCTTATTGAAGCATATTCAGTATATTTTTACACATTTCAATCTCTCAAGCATACTAATATGATGAGCAAGGTATTAGAAACCAGCATCCTTATATTCTAATAGCTTTACTCAAGTTAATTACATCAGAGAACTAAATTTTTAACAAATGCTGTATCACAATGCCCATGTCACGTCATGTCTCAGCATCTTAGGAAGAAGTCTTCATAACAAGAAAAGAAAAAAAAAAAATCACATTCTCTATAAGAAAGAAAAAAAAAATGTTTCTCGTTAAAAAAAAAAAAAAAAAAAGAAAGAAAGAAAGAAAGAAAGAAAAGAAATACTAATTCAAGTGGGAGATTGGAGAACTAGGAATTCTTTCGCTTTTTTTATAATACGAACATATATTTGGTGTGATGTTAGAACTGTTCTCCAATTGACCAAAGAAATATGTCATTAAATAATCATAATGTTGGCCATATAAGTCATAGGAAAATAAGGATATCAATAATAATGAAATGTAGACAACAATAAACCAACCTTCCTAATGTTAGCGATATTAGCCCCTCCTTTTCCAATTACTTTACCAGCTGCGGTAGCTGGAATCAACATCTCAAGAGCCGATGGGGGAGGCAGCCTATACAAATAAATGATCAATGTTTTTTCATGACATAAAAACAATCAATGTAAAAACATTGGTTACGATTCAAAACATAAACTCTATAAATGAAGCAATAAAACTGTGTAACTTTTTAAATAAATAAGGTGGTGCACTGACCCTCCATACATCTTGGATGAATACGAGGACATGGATCCATAGCCACTGTCTCCCATCTGATACATGTACAGAAAAGGGTTTCAGTATGCAAGAAAATAGCAGAAAACAGAACAAAGAAATTCCTTTCAATATATCATAACTATTTGATCCACAAGTGACCGTCCTAAATGATCTTGCTCTCCCAAAAAGGAATACACACAAATACCCAAATCAAATGTTGAACTTGTCATCTCATTGGCATTAAGCAATTTTTTCTTTCAATTAAGACACGCAGTAAAACCTATGTTACTATTTGAAAAAACAAAGGTACTAATGTGCTGCAATATAAAACAAAAGTTTGCTTATAGCACCTACCGACAGTGATCCATATCCATATAGGCTACTTGAAGAGAGAGCGCCCAATCCACTTCCACTTTCAGCCCTCTGATCATAGCCCATTGGTGGAGCACCAGGAGAAACAGAAGGCAAGACAGACGGCATCGAAAAACTGGAACCAGAATGGTACATGGAATCGGTACAGACAGCAGGGTTATAACCAACTTCTCTATCTTTCAAAGCCTCTTCGCGAAGCCTTAACACAATCTGGACCAATGCATCTCTCACGCTGCCAACTTTACCACTTACCTGCAAAAATACATTCAAAGTGAAAATTGTAGTGAAAGCAAAACTGCATTCAGCATTAGTTAAGATTCACAAAGCAAACCTCCACAAGTTCATCATTGGCAGAAGCACACTTAATTTTGTCACCCTTAGAAATACGGATATCAGCTCTAGTTGTCTTACGAATCTCATTGATGATTGAACCACTTTTTCCTATAATACAACCAATAACTTTAGATGGAACAAGTAGTCGCATAATCACTGTGCCACCTTCATCATCATTGATCTTTTCTTGCAGCAACAAAACAGTTTCAACAGCCATTGATTTCAGGTCATCTAAAGACTGAAAAAGGCATGAAACATCAAGATGGGCAATGTATTCATTAAAATAGCGAATCAGTTCCAACATGAATAAGACATGCAAATGAAATAACCAAACAATAAGCTACTGCACCACACAAATTATGCAAGTTAAATATCATGCTAAAATTCTAAAACAAATTGTTTGATGACCCGCGAACCATTTCAACTAGAACAAAGGATAGTGTGCAGTTGAAGGTTTCTTTTCTGCAATGGAAATGAATTCTGCAAAATCTACTACTTCGGACACAGAGAAAGTCAGTGGCCATTTTTCCAAGTTCATTTTGCAATATTACTTACAAAATCCTTTGTTATTAGCTTAACAAATGACATAGTTTTATTTGATCATTATGTGAGTTATACGTGGTTCTAAATCTTTATAACTATATAACTCTGACCTATTTAGACTGAGGCTTAGTCCTTCCCTCTCCAATGGAAAACCCCTCAAAACAACTCAAGTCTTCTAAAAAAAATTCAAAAGTTGATTTCAAGAAGCATCATTTGAGAAACTTCTCAAAATTAGCTGCAGAAGCAAATGCTTGCGGAATATCAAAACTCAAAAACCAATTTCCCAAAGTACTAAACTGAATCAAATTACAAAGAACACTTCTAAAATTTTCCAAACAATATAGAGTGGGCATATGCATATTTATATTGTGTTCGAAAATTCTGCAAATAAACCCATCTAGAAAATTGTACATAAGACCAACATGCAGTTAAAGACATTGGCTGAGAAAAACTCTTCTTGGCTTTAGTGAGAGAAGAGAGAGTACCTCAATTGACGTGATGGTAATTAAGCATTCATCACAATCACGTTTGGAATCATCAACTTCCACTCGAGATCCACTAGCTTGCCTTATGCTTTTAATGGTACCCCCACCCTTCCCGATGACACGGCCAATGTTATCCAAAGGGCATAATACTCTAACAATCAACTCCTCAGATGGAGGATGACCACCAATACCAGAAACAACAGGAAGAGAAGAATAAAGAGGCCATGTATTCCCAGTGTCAGGGTAATCATGAATGTCCTGGACATGTTGAGCACCAAGCATCGGTGGAATAGATCTGGGAGGAAGAATGGGATCTGCACTTGGATATAGTCCTCCTGCAGAATACAGAGGGACATCTGAAGGGATAATTATGCTAGGAGGGGCCTCATTTACAGTCGTATCAAGAGGAATCTCTTCTCTGGGTGGGAATTTGTACATGATTGAAGATATTGCAAATAAAGCCCGTCTTACTCCCTCAGGTTCACCAGCTATCTACTCCAAATAGAAAAAAAAAAAAAAAAATGGTACTGAAGATCAGCAAACAGCGCCAAAAAATTATTGAAAAGAAAACAGAAACAAAGAGTGAGCGTTCATTCAGGATTCTGAAGCAGGACATGAATATATAAAAGTTCTTACACAACAACTACCAAGTAATCCCCGTGTCAGTATAGCCTCCTTTTATGTGAGTTAGATAGGTATGCTTACAAAACATATTGGTTTCCAGATCCATTTCTTAAAAGTTAAGAATCTATAGATTGATCGAGAACCGGCTTGTTCAAACCATCAATTTCTTAATTTCAAGAAGCAAAAACATTTTAAGTCCACCAAATCACATATCTCTAGGTAATATGAAACACTTGTAATGTCTTGCAAGTGATAACTAATATCTAGCTAACTACCTCTATGCCAAGGTATAGTACAATATCCATAGATATTTTCAGTATGTTGAAGGACACCTCAGGCCCAGTCCTTAAAAGATAAATCAGACAAAAAAGTAAACACTTCAAAACATTCAGCAGTAAAGAAAGGTGCAATAAACCTGCTCTTCTGCGTCCTTAGGATCTCAACAAATACTGAATTAAACATAATATCATTGTTTTTGGTAGAATTTTTAAATACTAGTGAATGTTTTTTTAAGAAAAAAATCTTGTTCTTTGAGTCAACAAGGAAATTTTAAAAAGAAGAAGAAGATGCACCAGAGATAGACGTTTAGGGTTCTTGATTTAATATCAAAGAGGCATGGGCAGCAATGAAAATATAACAAAGATAAGTAGTTGTAAAGCTCACTGAAGCTCTCAGACGACTCTCGTTTGAACATAATGTTGAAACAATGTAAAGCATGATGAGACACGAAATTTCAAGCTGATGATTAATTGTTACATTTGAAAAAACAAACGGATGTATCAAGTTGGAACTTCATGATATCAACAGCGATATTAAATTTTAAAAAAAAAATGGAATGAGAGCCAAACATACACACCATGACAAAATTATCAAATTCCATTGCGCACGAATGAATGGGATCAGTGGCATCCTTGGGGCTGATTTTTATACTGGTTCTTGTCTTGCCTCTAAGCTTTTTTATAGTCGATCCTGCTTTACCAATAACATTAGCAGATTGGCTTGAAGGGACAAGAATTTGGCATTGTTCCTTGTCCCTCTGATTCTTATCTAAATCTCCAGCAGAGGCCAGTGCATTAGCAATGGCAGCATGAACTTTAAGCAGAGCATCTTGGGCTGCACATACTGGTCGCCTGTCATAGAACTCGTCATCAACATCCACTTCCTCCTTATCCTTGACAAAGCAGAATATTGTTATAACACGGTCCTTAGCACCAGGGAATGGATCAACCACCTTAATCTTTGCTCTCGTTTCTTGTCTTATTGAGTTAATCACTTTCCCACTCTTACCAATAACACTTCCAATAACCTCGTCTGGACACAGTATTCGGTAAACAACCAATTCATCACCGACCCAGTCATCTCTATCAGTAATCCGTCTCTTGTAGCCCTTACTGTCTCCATTATTGTCCCTCTGACCATAAGGTCGCTTCCCACTCACCATTTTACAATTTCAATTTGCCTGCATTTCAGCCAACAAAAAGGCATAAGGAAAGGAAAAGTCTGCATGAAAACGCATCCAATCAAATCTTCCTCCTCTAACGCGAAACAATAAACCCAACCATTAGAACGTTGCTAAGCAAGAATCCTTGGGGTGAGAGGAGGGAAAAGACGAAACCCTAATTCACAGAGCCAACAAGAACCACCGTGAATACGACAGAGGCAAAAACAGAAGGACGAAAGTACCTCAGCGAAGTAGATGAAGTAGCGGCACCACCGCAAACTTTGGCCGCCGATGCAGCGATTGGAGGAAACGTGACTAAAACTACAATTCAAGGGTTTGCAAGAACCGCCCTTTTTTTCTTTTGTATATTTATTTCGTTCGCTCTTTTAGTGCGTTATCCAAGAAGATAAGATCTCAGCCGTTGAATGTTATGATCTTTCGTTATTTGATTTTTAAGAAACAACGTAAAAATATGAATATTCATTTCCGTTGGACTAGATAAAAAAGTATTAACTTTTCAAAATTTTCATTAAAATTCTCAAATTAAAAAAAAAAAAAATCTAAAAAATACTCTTCCTTCAATTATAGATTAAAATCATTAATACTTAAATATATCTTTTTAACTTTAAGAAAATTTCAAAAATATCTTGAATTTTAACTTTTAATTTTGAAAAATTATTAAAAAATATCTTGAATTTTTTGAAAGTTACTTAAAAACTTCAAAAATATTTTTTAATTAAAAAAAAAATTCAAAAATACCTTTTTAATAATACACAATTTAAAAATACCCATGAATTTTTTAAAATAATATTAAATCGACTTTTATTTGTAATTACTTTAGTATACCCTAAACAAAGGTTAGAATTTTGTGAAAAATAAAATTAAAAAATATTTAAAGCAAATAACAACTAAAGCTTACAATATTACCATTTAAAAAAAAACGTTTAGAGTTTAGCTATATTCATATCATCCAATAATTCAATTAACTTAAACTACCTACTACCATATATTATAAAATTTTCTCCAGGTGAGTTTTTTTTTTTTTTAGTTGGGTTGACTTTTTTTTGTCTGATTGACATTTTTTCTGATCAAGTCAACCCAACCATCTCCATTGAGTCATGAGCTACTCTATTTCGATTACTCGAGTTAACATTTCGAGCTTGGTAAAATAATTTATCCAATCTATTTCAATTCCTGTACCCATTGGCTCATACTTTAAATAGAAGAATCATTGAATTGAATCATAAATTTGTGAAATTCTCAATCACCCTCCAATTTTTCATCATCATGAGTTCATATGGAACAGCAATTGTAATTCAATTGCTTACATACATTCACAGGAGAACGGGATGTTATCGAGGATTGAGCATAACTGACACTCCTGCAAACGCCCTCCACACAAGTTCTTACTCGCGATCCATTTGAGAAATATCCGTGAAACAGATTTGGTTGCAAACGCTCACCTTGAAAATCCAATCCAAACAATGTGGCCGCTCTCTCTCTTCCTCAATTTGATCCCCACCCCCCTTTTGTCTCTATCACTCTTGTGCTATATTTGTTGTTTGTTTTCGCACTCTCCATTTCGAGAGCTCAATCTCTCTCTCGATCGCTCGTCTTTCCCTCTTCTCTTCGTTATCTTTAAGCCCTTTTATCACTTCCATTCATTCATTTTCATAGCCACAGATAAGGGTATGCTTTACCTCTCTCTCTCTCTCTCTCTCTCTCTCGCTTACATGTTAGTTCTTCCGCAACTTTTGATTTGATCTGTTCATCTTCCTCTATCTGGGGTTTTGTGGTATTACACGCATGTCTTGTTCGATCATTCATTTGGGTCTTTCGAGTTTTATGTTTCATGCAGTTTTGATTGTTTCTACTCTGTTTCATTCATATGGGTTTTGATTCTTTTGGACTGATTTGCTCCGTGAATTTGCTTTTCTGTTTCATTCTCTATTTGTCGATGAAATTAGAACGAATGAATGAATTAAATCCGATGTTTTCTGGTTCACGTAGACTCATATCTTGATTGATAGAAGTTTTTTAAAGTGAAAAAGCATTGAAACAACGATTATATGATCTTAAACACCATTCGTATGCATTCCTTTTCTCTGGGTCTTGATGAGAATCATCGCTTAATCCTTATTCACTGTCACAAGATAAGATTGGTATCAAATATCTGAGATGGTTTCAATTTGGTGGGCTTTGAATCACACAGATTTGAGTACTCTGTTTGAAAGATGGAGATTACTAATGTCAGTGAGTATGAGGCTATTGCAAAGGAGAAGTTGCCCAAGATGGTTTATGACTACTACGCATCTGGCGCAGAGGACCAGTGGACCCTGAAGGAGAACAGAAATGCATTTTCCAGGATTTTGTACGTTTCTTTCCATGTTCATCAGTCCTTTCCAATACAAAGTTGCTTTGTTATCCAAAATTATGAATGAAAATCTGTCTTTCACTGAGACAGGTTCCGCCCCCGTATTCTTATTGATGTGAGTAAGATAGACATGTCAACAACTGTGTTGGGATTCAAGATTTCAATGCCCATTATGATTGCTCCAACTGCCATGCAAAAGATGGCTCACCCTGAAGGTAAGAACTTCCTAATCCCGATGTCTAGCCAGTTATGCATGTTAGGAATCACGACTCTACTCAATGGTATGATATTGTGTACTTTGTGGGGACTCCCTCCCAACAATCCTCCCCTCGAACAAAGTACACCATAGAGTCTCCCCTAGGTCTATGTAGCCTCAAACAAGGTACACCATAGAGTCTCCCCTGATGTCTAGCTAGTATTGCATGTTAGGAATCACGACTCTACACAATGGTATGATATCGTCCACTTTGTGGGGACTGCCTCCGAACAATCTCCCCTCAAACAAAGTACACCATAGAGCCTCCCCTGAGGTCTAGATAGCCTCAAACAAAGTACACCATAGAGCCTCTCCTGAAGTCTATGTAGCCTCAAACAAAGTACATCATTTGTTCGACACATGAATCACTTTTGACTATACCTTCGAGGCTAGTAATTTCTCTGTTTGACACTTGAGGATTTTATTGACCTGACTAAATTAAGGGCATGACTTTAATACCATTTTAGGAATCACGACTCTCCACGATGGTATGATATTGTCCACTTTGAGCATAAGCTCTCATGACTTTACTTTGGGTTTCCCTACCAATGGAGATGTATTCCTTACTTATAAATCCATAATCATCAACAATGCAGTGTCGGTCTATAATGGTGTTTTTGAGCTGATTTTCACTTCCATGCCTACAAGGACAGTGTTTTCATCTGAATGATATTGTCGTTTCAATGCAGGGGAATATGCAACCGCCAGAGCAGCATCTGCAGCGGGCACAATTATGGTCTAAAGTTCTACTATTCTCTCAAATGTTTTGTACATAATATTGTTTTGAATTAAGGACTGTTTGTTTCTATGCTTGATTCGAGTGATTCTTGAATTGTTTCAGACCCTTTCCTCATGGGCTACTTCCAGTGTGGAAGAAGTTTCTTCCACTGGACCTGGGATTCGGTTCTTCCAGCTATATGTAAGAACAATCTGTATGAATAACTTATGCTGCAAAATACAATTAGTCTTAATGTGTTTTACCCGAATTTATGTGATTGCTTATTCAGGTGTACAAGGATAGAAATGTGGTGGCGCAGCTTGTGAGAAGAGCTGAAAAGGCTGGTTTCAAAGCCATTGCTCTGACTGTGGACACTCCACGGCTTGGTCGAAGGGAAGCTGATATCAAGAACAGGTGTGTGGATTTATTGAGTCAGCTGTTATTGGTTTAGGTAGACAGTAAACCTTATTAACACATGTTTATCACACATAAATGGCTTTTGATGCAGATTTACTCTGCCACCATTTTTGACATTGAAGAACTTTGAGGGATTGGATCTTGGTAAAATGGACGAGGTAAGTGTGAAATGTCACTCTATTCTGTTGAACACAACTCTTTGTAGAAGCACTCGCACTCTTTATTAAGACAAATCGAGAAGGGATTACAAGACACTCTGTAAAAACTACTACACTTTGTGTTTTGGATTTCTTGGGATGAAAACCTAGGTAGAGTGGAAAGGTATTTATAGTAGAAACTAGACAATCTATTCCTAAAATATCTAGCTCATACAATTATTGGGGCTGCATATTCTGAGTTCTACTTCCATCAACAATGTTCTCATAACATTTTCTTTCTGTGGGGGTGCGTTTTACAGGCAGCTGACTCGGGACTTGCTTCGTATGTTGCGGGGCAGATTGACCGTACTCTCAGTTGGCAGGTAACAGAAAGAAAATGTCCTTCAAAGTGAAATAAACAAGACAGCACCATTGAAAAAGCTTCTTTTTACATTTACTTACAGGATGTGAAGTGGCTCCAGACCATCACCAAGCTGCCAATTCTCGTGAAGGGTGTACTTACTGCTGAGGACAGTAAGTAAATTCATAATAAGACATTCATTGCGATGATTTTAATGTATTCTGATGCTTGGCCTCCAAATTGCAGCAAGGATTGCCGTTCAAAGTGGAGCTGCTGGAATAATTGTTTCAAATCACGGCGCTCGCCAACTCGACTATGTCCCTGCAACCATTATGGCTTTGGAAGAGGTACTTAATACAACTTGACTATGTCCCTTTTGTTTGCCTGAAACAAAACATGTCATCATCTTTTCAGCTATTGATGATCTCAGGTTGTTAAAGCTGCCAGAGGTGAAGTTCCTGTTTTCCTGGATGGCGGTGTTCGACGTGGAACAGACGTTTTCAAAGCATTGGCACTCGGAGCATCTGGCATATTTGTAAGTAAAAAGAACACATATCAGACAATCACTTAGCTACTAGCTGAGGACTGAATGATCACTTATCAAATATCTTATTCATCAATGTTAGATTGGGAGGCCAGTGGTGTTCTCTTTGGCAGCAGAGGGCGAGGCTGGGGTGAGGAAGGTGCTTCAGATGCTGCGCGATGAGTTCGAGCTGACCATGGCATTGAGTGGCTGTCGCTCGATTCAGGAGATTACCCGCAACCATATTGTGGCTGACTGGGACACTCCTCGCATCGTGCCGAGGCTATGAGATGGGTTGGCAGTCTGTTCTTGGGGTTCTTCTGATATATAGCCATATGATGTTATGTTATGATAAAAATATGTAATGTCTTCTTGAATGGGATATTACATTCATCCTATATTGTTTCTGTTGCCAACATTGATATGTTACTGTCTGAAGTTGACAACTTTATGTGTTTTTGATTGCTGGTACAGGTGCTTAAACGAAAAATGGCCAAAAAAAAGAAAAAAATAAAGGTATTTTGGATTTCATGTTATTACATGATGGAGTACAATTTA